GACCTCTGTGACTGGCAGTGAACTAAGACAACCCTGATCTCCCTTTTCTTCGACCCCTCATGCTCCCAGACTTTCTTGACAAAGAGGAAAAAAGCAAAAGGCAAAAGGACAGCTACCCGATGTACATACCTGACACAAAAGTATAAAACCACTGGTCCTGATTTTTTGGGGAAGTCATGTTCCAACACTCTTCGATCCAGCTGAAGCCAGTTTAAGTGTCCCCTGAGGAAAGAGAGACCGGTCGGTTAGGACTTTGGGTTTTGCAGAAGTTTCTTGGGACAAAGGTACATGTGTCGCAGAATGTGCTAGACCACAGAGAATCGTGGACCTCTGCCTCACTATTAAGGTCTCGGTTTTTGAAGACCCCAAAGGAATGATCAGGGGACTCCTGCGTCAGCTGGAGATACTGTGTGATAATCAAAGTCGGGGGTTTGAGACCCGCTGCCCATTTTCTCAACGGCACTAAAATGAAAATGCAACCATACTGTCTTTCTTGTCCTGAATTCCCTTACCACCACTCTCCTGACTGCCTTCTCTCCTGAAGGCCTCACAACACACTTTGGAAGCATGTGAGCAATCTTTGCAACATCTTGCTGGAGGCAGATGGGGTGAAACGTGAGTCACAGACGGTTTCCTTAAAAATTAAATGTACGGCTGCCATCCGGCCCAGGCATTCCGCTCCCCGGTACTTAGTTACCCAAGAGAAATGAAAGCAGACGGCCACACAAAGACTTCTAGGCACAGGTGTTCCCGTTATTTGTAATAGCTCCCAACTCGAAACAACCCCAGTGTTTCCCAGCAGGGGCATGGACACGTTACGACATTGTTCTGTAATGGAATACTACCCCGTGATAAAGACAGTGAGCTGTTAATACACACAGCAATACTAGGATGCACCTCAAAATAAAGACGCCGAGGGGAAGAAGCCAGGCAAGAGGGAGTGCAGACTGTATGGTTCCATTTATAGAAAACTCTAGAAAGTGCAGACTGGTCAGCAGTGACAGAAAGCAGACTGGTGGCTGCGTGGAGGATGGCTGATGGGGGAGGTCACAATGGGGGACGAGGAAACTTTTGGTTGTGATGGAGATGTTCATTATCTCAATGGTGGTGATGGTTTCATGGGTGCAGACAGATGTCAAAACTTATGAAACTGTACATTTTAATCTGTGTAGTTTATTGTACATCAACTTCACCTCATTAAAGCTACTTTACACAGTGAACCAAGGAAATGTGGGATGATGTACAAATGGGGACACGTCTGCATTTCCTTCTTCCTTCCCTCTCCTTCTCCTTCCATAAATATTAATTGACTTCCTTCTCCAAATAAGAGTCTGGAGATGCAGCAGTAAGCAAAATCCACACAGTCCCTATTCCCCTGAAGCTTATATTCTTCTTAGGAAACAGACACTCAGCAACTCTTTCCACAATTAATTACATAATTACTAATAGTATTAGGACCATGAGTTAAGGCCCTGATCTAGTCTGGGGGTCCAAGAACTACTTGGTGTTTGACTGAGATTTGAAGAATGAACGAGAAAAGCAAAGAGGAAGGGGAAACCACTTGCGAAGCAGAAGGGCCAGCATGTGCAAAGGCCCTGAGGTGGGAAGAAACCTGGCACTTTGGTGTCATGTGAGTAGAAAGGGATGAGGCTGGAGAAGGGTGACCAGGCCCTTGGAGACACGTTGAGGAAGCTGATCTTTGAAGAGCAAGTATGAGCAGCAGAATCCACTCTGTCCTCCTCTGCTCTCCTTACCCAATCTCCATGCGTCATCCTGGAGGACTCGGAGTCCTATAATCATCTTTGCTTAGTAAGCTCATGCTGAACAGACACAACTGCACACCATTTCCTTGGGCACCGATGCTGCATAACACAGATGTTTATAATGTATACACACGTGGGAAAGGCTGGCACTTACTAAAGAAAAGCTGTTGCATCATTGTATGAAAATGTTTGCTCCTCCAAGCCTCCAAATAATGAAAGATGGAAGATATTCCAGAGGCTTCATCCCCATTTTGAGACTTTGTTCAAACTGCACCTTCTGTACAAAAGAACAAATCCCTCTTTCCATTAAGCCCAAGCCTGTGGTTCTGGGGGTGAGGATGAGGGCTGCTTCGGAACAGTGTCCACCTGAGGAACTCTGGCCTCTTTCTCCTTCTAGGCATCTTCATCTAGACAAAAAATTTTTCTATTAACTTTATCTTTAATGTTCAGTTCCTCTTCTCTGACTGTAGTAAAGGTATAGTAAGAAGTATAGAATGAAGAAAGAAGTTTTCTAAGCAAAATAACATCTTCCAGAAAGGTGGGATAAATTCTTGTCCTGTAGAACACAGGATCTGGAAACAGAAGCCCCAGATGCCACCCTCGTGTCTGGTTACATCGAGATGCGGATAATGCCCCCACGGGATCATGCTGTTTCATGCTCTGAGACTTAGCTCCTGCTGTTCCCTATGCCTAGAATGCCCTTCCTCTCTTTCTTTGCCCAGTGAAGTCTGGCCCATCCTTCCAGACCTACTCTCCTGTGTCTCCTCCAGAAACCCATCCCTGACACCCTCCCCACCCCACACACCAGCCTGGTTGCAGCTTCTCTGGATTCTCACAGCATCCATCCTGAACACAGCTCTGTGCCTGCACTTCCCGAAGTCCATGGAACTCACTCTATGTACACACTTCTCCTCAACAGAATTTTTACATCTGAAAAACAGAGGGATCTACCCTATACGGTAACAGTATGTGTGTTTTTGATTAACTGGAGATGTTAAGACAGATGTGAGACTTCATTATCTGGGATTAATAAGCCATCGCCCTTTCTTTCTTGCCTCTGAAAGTGTCCAGTTATCTCCCAGGCTCCTCTTTCTGTGCAGCCTCTTGCAGACACGCCATATGCACACTCGCGCCAGGACTCAGATCACGCTGTTTCTCTTCCTTGGAACAGCCTCTCCATCCTCTTTATCTGAACGCCAGCCATTGTTCAAGGCCGAGTTCAAGTCTTACTTTGAGTGAAGTCTTCCTTGATTGCCTTAGCCTGGGATTTCTTTCCAACGTCTCCAGGGCTTCTGGTTTATGTCATGTGCAAGGCTAGTTAGTACAGCCTTGTGCAATGATTTCTACAATATGACCCGTCTCTTCAGCTAAGTTGTACGTTTTCAGCACTAAAAAGGAAAGCATTATCCCCAGAACTTAGCGCAGTGCTTGGCAAACATCAGGGGCCCGAACGCACTTGCTCATCGATTGGATGACCGTCTCCAAAAGCAATCGATTTACACCGAGATCTTAATCTATAAAAGTGACTTGAGTACAATACAGGGAGGTCAATGCTTTTGAAAGGAAAGTTTTCTGTTCCTCACAGTTGCCTAGAAATGAGAGGCACTCACACCACACAGGGCCACCAGGAGAAGCACCAGTGTTGATCGTGAGGCAGAAAGGACTATGGGGAAGACACAGGCCAGAGACGTCGTGGGGTTTTCGTGGAAAAGGCACAGAAGACAGCTTAGGACTGGCTGCTCTGAGTGATTCTGGTGGGCCCTGAGGCATGGGGCTGTCCCTGGCTGGCTGGTACCTGGTCCTGGTGTGATTAAGGACAGGGGACGCCTGGTTTGGGGGTGAGACAGTTATATAAAGGGAGTGGTTCAGGGTATGATGTCAGGGGCACGGGGGAGACAGAAACAACTTTGGCTCTTTGTTTGGCCCTGTAATTAACAATGCCAAATACATACAGGATCTACGAAGCCTCAGAACAGAAATCCACCCAATGACCATGTAGATTTCAATTGTCATCTTTTGCCTTATTTAATAATAAGTCTGGTCGGAGTAACCTTTTCATGATCTTCTGAAATAGACTAAAAGGGGGGCACGGATATTCCCCACCAGCTTCAAGCTCAAAGAATAAAGGAGGAACTGAGAGATGGAATGTTCTACACGTGCCCTTAAGACCTGTCAACGGGCCAGGATTGAGAAAGCCTCATCCCACCCCAAGGGCACAGCATTTCTGAGCACTCAGACTGCTGGATGTTCGACTTGGCTTCTGGGGGCCAAATTCACTTGGCGGAGAACCTGCAAGGGGGACCTTTTGCTTGAAGGGACTCAGAAACGGACGTCACATGGCTCCACTCTGCTAGGTCTGCTCACTGCCCATCTTCTTCATCCATGTTATTAGAGGGCAGATAAATGGGTGGGGCCTCCCTCTCCAGGGAATTTCATTCCCCACACTAAACTTTTTAAAAGAATGACATCTTAGAGATGAATGTATTTAACTGGAAATTCCTTGGTTCCCAGCTATGTATTGGTTTAACATTTATCAAGCCA